AGAAGAGTTATGCAGACACTTGGATGAAAGATTTAGAATTTGAAAAAGGTTATAGAGTATTTCTTAAGGTCACCTCTTTTAAGGGGATCAGTAGGTTTGGAAAGAGAAAAAAATTAAATTCTCGATTCATTGAACCATTTGAGATCTTTAACCGGATTGTTATGACTGCCTACAGACTGACACTACCTCCAGAGCTATTCAGGATTCATAATATGTTCTACGTATCTATGCTACGTAAGTATAACTCGGACTCCTCACACATCCTGTCCCACGAGCTCCTTTCACTGCAGGTGGATCAATCCTATGAGAAGGTGTCGATAGACATTGTAGACCAGAAGAGTAGAGTACTGTGCAACCGAAAAATTCCTTTCGTCAAAGTCCTATGATAGAATCATACGCAGGAAGAGACCACTTAGGAACTGGAATCAAGCTTCAAGGCCCAATACCTCCCAGCTATTCAACTGAGTGAAAGAGTGACCAATTTGAGGGACCAAATTTTTTTAAGGGTGAGATTTATAATTCTCGACCCTGAAAAAGTGGCATGGGATAAATTTTTCTTATGAAATTATTTAACTAAAATAAATAATTAATTTATTTAGGTTTTATTTTATTAAATTTTTAAAAAAATAAATTGAAGGCGATATTAAAAATAATTTTGGGGAAAAAAGATGAAAATATGACTTTGATGGGTGTTTTTGAAAGAAAAATTCGAAACAAGGAGTTAAAATGCAAAAAAAAAAAAATTTGACCACGTGGGACGGCCTGATTAGCAGCCTCGATGAACCAGAGTCACAGTGTGTCAAAACAAGCTAACATCGGTGCCACGCGGGAGGCCACATGAGTGATCTGCGTGCCCAGCTATCCGGCGTCCTAGGTTCGATCCTACGCACGTGAACAGCTCAGATTCGTTTACTCCTTTAGTGCGATTGAATGGACAAGATCAATCATGATGAATGGTACAAATTCGTTTTGTTCTTAGGTGTGATCGAACGAACGGGATTAAGCATGATGAATGATCTAGATCGATGTAGGATGGATATAAATACCTCGCGTTGCAGGAGAACCCAAACCCTAACCGTCAGTCCCCGCTGTAGAAGAAGAACCAGGCACTAGAGAATAAGGCTGATCGTCAATCGCCGCCGCAACGAAACCACCGCTGACCACCAAAAAAGATAAAAAATTTTCCTACATGCTTGAAATTTAATTCTGAGCATCCTTATGGACATATCGGAGCAAGAGGGACGGCGGGTGAGCTGAAAATCGTAGGCAAAGCGCGATGGAGCCTCCACGACCAAAACCAAAAAAATTCCTCTGATGAGCCCCTTCCCGCTTTTTGTTTCACATGATTTTTTGATCATTGTATTCATCATCCTTTTCTGTGCAGGGTAGCTGAAGAAGGAGCACCAGTCGCGAAAAAGAATCGGTAGAGCCGCCGTACCCGCAGACATCCCTCATCCCTGTCGATAGGTTCGGTTTTTTGTGATTTTCTGGCCAACTGAGGCCTCCTAACATGTTTTCCTGCAGGGATACGTGTAAAACTGGCCAAAACTAGCTAAAACCAGCCAGGTCGAGCCAAACCACCATCGTGGGTGGTGGAGCCAGTGCCGAAGCACGGCGGTGCCGCCGTGCCGAAACTCTAAAATTAGCCGAAAAGAGTTTTTGATACCAATTTTAAAATTTTAAACATTTTTATGTACGTGATGAGTGTTTTGGATTCCGTATGAAAAAATTTAGAAAATTTGATACCCGTTAAGAAGTAGAGTAAACAGTGCAATGTCTTGAAATACCGATCCGGGTAAATATCCTTCACTTTATTCCCCATTATGGTAAATTGAGGCTTAAGAATGTATAATTTTATTTTTTTGTGAAAAGTTAAAAAATCCTAAAAATAATTACAGGTCACTAGTGGAGCCGGAACCGATTAGTTCACAAATGTCATGATTTCCTATTTATGTTCCTATATTGTCCTACTTGCTTGTTATCTTATTATGCATGTTCTTAATTTATAGTTTCAATGGTCTTATCAATTTATCTGGTTTATTTGTTTATATGGTTTCTCGATCCCTTGTTATGATAAATTATATCATCTGCATAAATATCGTCTAGTTGATCTGTAAATATAATATGAGATATTGGTATGCGTTTATTGGTTATTTTGCTTGATGTGAATCTTTATGTAAAAAACTTACTGGGTACCTAGAGAAAAGGCAAATGGGCCCAATATATAGAGAATCTTACAGTGAACCTCACCTTAATTGGACGGGACTAGGAAGTCCCATACTAGAAAGATTTAGGAGATATGTTTCACCCTCATACCGGATAAGATATCAAGGTGATAGAATGTTTGGCGCTCATTACCGGACGGGGTATGGAGATGACCAGTTAATTGTTAAAATTGGATATTAGGCTCACAAATAAAGAAATATCTATATGGACCCCAGGGATACGAGTAAGCAAGTAAGAAAGGAAAATTGTCGTCCCTTATTCTCTTATGTGTGAAAATAAAAAGTGGTATGGATATAGGTTTTCATAGGTTATTTTTTTGAAAAACTCGTAACGATAACTATCAAACAAACGTCTTTAAGTTAAATGTATTTAATTGGAGTAAGGGCTCCATTAGTTTTTTTTTTTAATTTTTACCAATCTTCAATTTTTTGTATATGTAATTAGTCTGATATTTTTATTAAACTGGTGTAACTTACCTTTTTATTAACCATTTTAGATCAAGACCAAAATTCAGATCCCGATCAACAAGAGGGTTGTAAGTAATTCACCACCCGAACTACCTTCAAGTGCTAGTGAAGGTTGTTCTAGGATGTTTATTTATTTATTTTTTTAATTATTATTTGTCTTTTAGAAAAGACATTCTCGTAGGTTTATTGAGAATTCTAAATTATTATATAAGGAATGTAAACTCTGACTCTATTATTCGCTTCTATATTTAAATTATAAATTCATTTTTTTTAAGGTTTGGGACTTTTATAATAATTATTTATTTTATCAAATATAAAAATTTAATTTGATTATGTGTAATAATTATTTATTTAAATATAAATTTAATTCTGTCTTTATATAATTTATTTTTTTTTCATTTCATACTTTTTATATACTATTTATTATTACATATAATAAGACATGTGTAAATTAGTAATTTAATTGACAATACAATAATATCATCTTATCATTCAAATAAAACAACTATCATTAACATATATTAATATATAACAATTTAAATATGAAAATTTTTTGTCATTCTCATCTTATATCATTATTATCCTGATCACTGTTATTGTCATATATTAATTATCATCATTAAAATTCATCTAAATAAGGCGTACATATTTTTCTCCCTTGTGGGTCTCCTGGCAACATCTCTCATGGATTTGATTGCTAAGATAATTTATTTTTATTATCAATTATTAATTTTTATTATTAAAATATATATGTAATTTTACATACATATATTTTAAAGTAAATATAGTAATCGTATCTAATTATATATATAAAGCTATTCTCATCATAATAATCTACATCATTAACCACTATTAATTATTTCTACAATTAATTATTAGATATATACATATATATATATATGTGTGTGTGTGTTTTATTATGTTTTATGCTTGATTTTAGCATATAGGTTTTTTCAAATTACATTTAAACAAATAAAAAGATATATATGTGTAGGATGTGACAACAAACTATTTAATAAAAATTTATCAATTAAGGACGACTTATTAAAGAAGATGATGTGGAGTCCTTCAAGAAGCCTTTCTACACTCCCACACAAGGAAGAAATAAGAGAGATAGTTGAGAAAGAGGGTTTGTTCGATCTTGGCAAGCTGGAAACCTTTGAAGTTAATTGGGACCTCGGGGAAGGTGTAGTAATGTAGGAAGAAAATTTTGTATTGGATAAGAATCAAAGTGGGCAAATTGTTAATGATTGCATAAGAGTAATGCTAGAAAGCATGTTTATTCATCATTTTGGAGAAGTCATAATTGATAACTTATTCAAAACATACTTGAACTATATTACTCCAACATCTTCAATTTTATGGTATCAAGCATGTCACCATTCTCATCCCAATGATAAAAAGGTAGAGATTATAAAAAAAAAAAAAAAAAAAAAATTTAATATTTTAATTAATTATAATTTTACTATAAATTCAAAATTTTAATTATTGAATAAGATGTGCTTAAAATAGTAATGTTATATTTCATTTAAGTTTACCTTATCTTTACTTCATTCTAAGTTTTATTTATATTATACTTTACATTTTTGAATATGCAATTAAATAAACTTCACTCTTAATTTTGATTATGCAATTATGAGTTTATTTTTTTAGTTGACGAAAAATTACAAAAATATTAAATTAAACTGAATATATAATTGACTTGATAGAACAATGTTATTTTCTTTTGTGATTTTCATCTTGTATTCTTATTTATATTTCACAAAATTGAAATTTGAAGTAATTTCGTCCTAAATATTTTGTGTGAGTTAAATATTCATTTTTTTTGCTCTTTCACTCTAAATGTATACCTTAAAAATACATTCAACTCAAACTTACCATCTATCACATGATCATAACTAGGATAATCAAACACTCAATCTACAAGAACATATTTTCTATTTTATTTCCAACTGGGACTTTAGTTTACTTATGGATTGTATTCTTCCATTGAATAGTTCTTTTTTTTTTTACTTGTTTTAAATTTCTAAATATTATAATTTGGATATTCATGCATTATCTGGGGAGGAATTACCATATTAAGTTAGCCAATGTGTAATCCATTAGATACCACCTTGTTTGCTTTCTTTTATTTTGTAGGATAGTTTTCTTTCTCAATGAACTGAAGTTGCTTTCCTGAAAAAAATTACAAAATTTTCTTCCTGTTTTTTTTTTTTATTTTTATTTTTTTATCATAGATATAGAAAATTAGCTTAATTAATATAAATTACTAAAATTTATGGAAATTTCAAAGACTGAAAAATGTTGATAGAATTGATGAAACCAACTACAGGAGGAAATTCAATTTTACCTTAAAAGTCGGGTATGACAACGTAGCAAAATTATTCCGAGTCTTGTCTTTAAATTCGAATCTCCAGCTATAAATGATTATGGCAAACACTAATGGAAGAGAAGAGAATAGAAGGGAAGAAAGGAGAGAATCAATTTAATGCAAAAAAAAAAGATATGTTAGTAAAAACTATTACTATGGATTGATGTATTAAAATTCAAACTAGAAAACTGCATCTCAAACAATCTTTTTTTATATCAGTTAAGAGTTATTCATTCCATAAAACGTAATTAATTTTTATAAAAAAAAATATATATATATAAAACATTATCTTCACTTCACAATTTCAAAAAAGAGTTATTAGTCATAATGTCATTCATACGGCATCCATTATAGTTTTAAAAAAACACAAGCAAACAACAACAGAAAGAAAATGTGTTGTAAGTTGTAAACCAAGCATTTCTGTTTAATTGATCAAATTGGAATTACCTGAAGATCATTACGATATTCAGCACGGGCTGAAGATTTGTTGAACTTTATTGCTTGCCGATTAGCTGCCGAAGGTGATGAGCCCAAGGGAATCCGAGTATTGAAGAATTTGGTTTGAGGATTAAGCCGCGATTGAGACCGAGTAAGTGGCCTGTGAGAGACTTGTTTTACCTGTGTTGGCTTACTGTGCTTGTAATTAGGTGCAAAGCATTCCTTAGGACTCTCAAGTGGTAGATGTTTTCCTTTTTTCTCTAGTTGCCCCCAGAGTAATTTGTCATCATTTGCTTCACCTTTCTCCAATCCTACAGACTTCCAGAACAGAATAGAAGTCATCAGAACCTCATCCAATTGTGTTTCCCGCGCTTTAGCTCGTTGGGCTGTCACATGCATGTCATTATTCTTTTAAGACAACCAGTGCAGCCATAGACATGAACTGCTTTTTAACAATCTAGTAAGAACCTTCATATATTTGGGATAATACTAAAAAGGAAAGAAACCTAAGAAACCTCATAATTTTGATAAATATGTGAAAACTCCAAATTCCACTTTATTTCTGGCTACGACACCAGAAAATTCAGTGAGAAAAAGACCATCAAAGAAATTTTTTCACAACTTTTTCGGTATGTATTTGTAGCAAGGCAAATAATAGACAAGAAACACCATGACTAAAAGAACTTGGTTCTGGCTGCTGACCTCAACTAATGCTCAGAACTGGCAAGTGGCCACTTTAGAAGTCCCAATAGTTTGTTTAAGATTATAAACGAACTAATTTTTTCGTTAAAAAAAAAGAATAGAGAGAATTAGCTTTTTAGTTCTGCATCTAGCAATGGGAAACTGTTCATGAAAAGATCTTTTAGTTTTTATGTTTTATATCACAGAGTTTATAGAAAAATATGAATGTAACAGTTGAAAACGAAAGCAATATTTAAAAATTGATAGTCAAAATATGTTATGATTTTGAAGAGAAAAACAAATATTATTAATATTTTGTAGAAACTGTTTTTGTTTACACTGGAGTACTACACATATATATACCACCTACATGTTTTTATATATTAAAATGATAAATTTAACAAATGAAAACAATAAAATTAGGCAAATCCTGCACCTAATAAGTGTCTGAAGTGCACAATGAGTGATGGGACTCATAACTCAAACAAATCAGCTATTAGATGCAACACTTAAATTGAGCCATCAAAGATGACAAAGTTGTCAGTATTTACATGAGTGTTTAAGGACATACCTTGTGAGCAACAAAAGGTTCAGCAGCTTCTTTCCTTGCTTCAAGAAGCAACCCAAGACACCCTTTCATTCGTGTCACCCTATCTTCTGTCTGCTTCAACCTGCAGAGTGCCTTCATCTTATCCTCTTCTGCTATCCTAACCCTCTTTCTAGCTTCCTCCAATTCGAGTCTTCTAGCTCCCGTTGCTCTCTCTACCTCTTCCATAATAGTCATCAATCGTGCACATGTACCCAATTTTTTAAATCAGCTTTCAGGTTATTGACATACTTCACCATTGGATCACACATTTGCCCTGCTAAAGCCTGCATCAGGTTCTCTATACCATCCTCTACTGAACCAAGCACTACATTCATGTTATCAAATATGATTCGAAGAATCTTTAGTGAGGGGAGAAAGGTATCATGGTTTTGACTATGAAGAGCGGATATACAATGAATGGCTTTCTGGAAGAATTTGTGTAGGGATGCTCTATAATTGGCAAGGTTCTGGACCATGTCACTTTCATGGGAATTAACTTGGGTTTCAATTTTCTTAAGGATTTCAACAAGTTGTATCAATTGCATTTGTTGTTTCTCCAAGAATTCTTTGCCTACTTTGGTGGCTTTAGCAGCATAGATATCCTCCTGTATAGTTGTAAAAGGGGTTGTTAACATTGCAGGGCATTTTTTTTGAAACAAAAAGAGAATGATATTCACAAGGCACGAAGTAGTGCCACCCAAGTACACGAACAATTTATCAAAAACTTTGCAGGAACAAATTTAGAGCAATTATACACCAAAAACCTATGAGGCTATGATGTTTTGCTACTGTTATGGCACATTCTAAGTGGCTCCAACTTGTCCACGTTTTGGTTACAAAGCAACATGGAAACTACAATATAAGAGCTATTTGAGTTGACCTTTTAGCTTATGCACAGGGCTTCTAACATCTGGTTTTTATATATACTCTAAAGACATAAGTTAAAATGTGTATAATTGAAGTATATTTTCACTTTGCTCAGAGAATAAGTATATTTCATTTTCCTCTGAACTTTGCGTATTAATCATTGGAGTAAAAAATACCTCTAAGTTGAAAAGTTGGTCAGATGATAAAATGACATGAAAAAAGTAATTTGATCGAAAACAAAGGTCATCTTCATAGCTTGTTAGCCGAAAGGAGAATACTAAACACCTGTATTGATTTTCTGGCAAAACGTCATGACCAGACACTCCCGTATCAGACGATATTGGATAAGAGTCGAACCAATATCAGAAGTAATTAATTCACTAGCATCACCATGGCTTGAATGACCAGACCAAGGAATTTAAGGAGTTAAGTTGCTCTAATGGGAGAAGGAAGGGCTAAATCGTGAATTAATTTGGAAATAATCAAACTGTCGGGATCAATCAGACTAATTCCATCTAATTGAATCAAAGATACGAAACTCCAGTGAACTTGAGCTCACACCATAAGATTGTTAACAATCAGTGAACAAATCATTCTCCGAATAACATCTCCCTTTAATTCAAAAGTTCAATTAGCCATTACCTCTGAACTACGAATATCATTTCTCTGGTCTGTATCTGCAGCAGTTGTCCGCAAAATCGGTGGTGAGTCGCATACGACAGCTTCCCTCTGGCCTTCCTGCTGCTAAAATTAATAGTTATTGGAAACATGTTTTAAGTGAGAAAGTTGCTAGTAATTTATACTTTCCTTGAAAGGGAGAGAACGCAGAGAATAATGAAACCAGAATTACGCGAAGGTAATCTGCATCAAAGAAAATGGTGGTGAATCTCCCCTCTTCAGCCATTTCCATAGTTTTCAAGCCAACCAGCTTCATCAATGGAGTCGCAAGAGAAGCGAAAACCTCCTTTGCCTTCCAAAAAATAATTGAAAAAAAATAAAAAGAAGAAAGAAAGAATTGTAAATTTGTAATTCGGAAAATGTAAGTAATTGGAGAAAATTCGAGAGGTCAACCAGAGATTAGAAGCTTACTTGAAGCAAACCATTCTCGATATGTGATTTGAGGTTGTGATGAGCGATCTTCACTTGCTCATGGCGCGAGACAAGATTCATTAGCTTCACACGAATCTCAGGCGTTGATTGAGATGCTTGTAACTGTAGCCTCCGTTGATGCCCCCTTTTTGGCGGGAAATCCATGGCAGCAGCAAAATTGAGTCGTAAGTTTTAATTATTTTCGTTTTTGTCAATCTTCTGTTTCCAATTCTTCTCTCTATCATGATCTCGCCAGTTTATGCATTGTGTGGCGTCTTCTAAACAGTAGGAAAAATACTTAAAAATTTGCGGGCTGTTAAAACTCAGAACCCTCCATAAGACCCTTCCTTTTAAGTAACCGTTCATTTTATTTTTCGTTTAAATTTAAATTTGATATTTTATGTTAATTTTATATTAATTTTAATAGATAACCATACTATTATTTATGTATTTAAATTATTCCGCGTTACGGTCTACCATTTTTATACTACGCACTAGGGTATATCGCAGAATGCTCGAGAAATTGCAGGAGGGTACGAATCGTCTTGCTGACGGCTTCGTTTGAAAGTGATAGTAATGGCGACTGGTCGTATTCATCTTCTGTTTATTGCTGGATGAAATGAAAATATTTTTCTTAGTAGTAATTTATAAATTTAAACTTTATTTTCTTTATTATAATCAAAATCATTCCTTTACTGTGGATTTTTTCATACGAAAATCAACGAAGTCCAAACGAAATGTTCCTTTCAAAAGATTGGAAAATTCCTCGACGGAATCACAGGACCGCCACTGAGATTCAAGATATTTTTTTCTTTCTTCTGATACAAAAGAATCAACTACGGATTCTCACTCTCCGTAATGGACGCTACTCAAGCAGAATCTCTACGCATGCTACTCGCCAACAAGGAAATGGAGGTAACGGCACAGGCGGGTGCTGTAAGTGAGCTGATGGCCGACGGCGCTGCTGAGGAGCTAATTGATGCCACTATTGAAGCCCTTAACACCTTGAAGGCCGAGAAGGTTTCCATAGCGCACCGCCTTCACGCTGCCGTCGTCCGCAGTAATGGCCAAGTTAGCGCCATCGACAGGGAGGCCTTCCGTCAAGCTGTCGTCAACACCCTCGAACGTCGTCTTTTCTATATCCCGGCCTTCAAGATCTATGGCGGCGTCGCTGGACTTTACGATTACGGCCCCCCTGGCTGTGCCGTCAAATCTAATGTTCTTGCTTTCTGGCGCCAGGTTAGTTTCTGAATTCTTCGTTTTGTACATGTGATGTATGTGCCTACTTATCTAGAAAAATTGCTTTCATATCCATAGCCAGTGGTTTTCGTTTTCTTCTTTCTGCATCATTTTTTGTTTGCTTAATGTGCTAAGTTTATTGATTTTGTTGCGAAATTGTTCAATGAAACAGTTGTTAGCGGCCTTATTTCCATTTACAATCCGTCAAAAAGCAAAAAGGAATTTTCCTAAACAGATGTAGAAATGGAATCTTCTGTTCCTTGTATTGATAGCAGGATGTGTGTGTTGTTTCTGGAGCTGTTAGTCAGTTTCATCTAAGCTTGTTACGCTCTACTTCGAAAGAAAATTTGAGTTGTTCTGGTTGTTTTTTGGATAATTTAAATTTTATTCTTTGGCTTTTCAGCATTTTGTTTTGGAAGAAAACATGTTAGAAGTGGATTGCCCATGCGTCACGCCAGAGATTGTATTGAAAGCATCAGGTCATGTGGACAAGTTTACTGACCTTATGGTCAAAGATGAAAAGACTGGTACTTGTTACCGTGCTGATCATTTGCTGAAGGATTTCTGCAAGGAGAAGCTTGAGAAGGATCCCACCAGCACTGCCGAGAAGGTAGAAGAATTGAGGCATGTTCTTGCTGTCTTGGATGATCTCTCTGCTGAAGAATTGGGTGCAAAGATTAGGGAGTATGGCATTACTGCTCCAGATACTAAAAACCCTCTTTCTTCTCCCTATCCATTTAATCTAATGTTCCAAACATCAATTGGACCGTCTGGCTTGAGCTCGGGGTAAGGATTTTGTTTGGTCATCTGATAGAATACAATCTGAGATTCCTTCATATAACAACAAGTTTATCTGATACTGACAGACTGGTTTTGATGTTCGTGGGCTTATTCTGACGGATGATAACCCAGGTTTATGCGCCCTGAAACAGCACAAGGAATTTTCGTTAACTTCAAGGACCTGTACTACTATAATGGCAACAAACTACCTTTTGCAGCAGCTCAAATTGGTCAGGCTTTTAGAAATGAGGTACCAATTTTTTCCTTGTCACATGGTAGGATGCATTCATATGCCTCTTACGTTTGTGGTTGTCACTGGAATATATCATCATTAAGGGTGAAATGTTTTGCAGAATTAATTTTTGTAGCTTAAGCTCTTTCATGCAATTACAGATATCCCCGCGCCAAGGTCTGCTAAGAGTGCGTGAGTTTACACTGGCTGAGATTGAGCATTTTGTGGATCCTGATGACAAGACCCACCCAAAATTTTCTGATGTTGCAAACTTGGAGTTCCTTATGTTCCCCAGGGGAGACCAAGTATCTGGACACTCAGCAAGGAGAATATGCCTTGGCGAAGCAGTTTCAAAGGTTTGTTTCCTTTTGCCCCATGTTCTTTTGGTTTTACTATCTTTTCTCTCTCCCTTTCAGTTTTTTCTGACAATAGATTGGTTGTTCACTATTATTAGGGCAGCGTCAATAATGAAACACTCGGCTATTTCATTGGAAGGGTGTATCTTTTCCTTACCCATCTTGGCATTGATAATGAGCGGCTACGTTTTCGGCAGCACCTGGCAAATGAGATGGCCCACTATGCTGCAGACTGCTGGGATGCTGAGATTGAATGTTCTTATGGCTGGATTGAGTGTGTTGGTATTGCAGATAGATCTGCCTATGATTTGGGAGCTCACACGGTGAGTAAGAGCGGTTAACAAGAACAGGACAAACTGATGTACAAGTTTTATCGTATCAGTTTTCTTTAATAGCAATAATAGATGTTTATGGTTCATTCTTTGTTACCATAAAGATGATGGTAACAAAGGGGAAGCAATTGAA